GCCTGAAGCTCTTGCGCAATTTGGTAGACCGGGTAAAACTCATCATCCGATGAACCAAAGGCGCCGGATTGGTGTAAGTGAATTAGCTCCTCAAAAGCTTGCTGGGTCTTGTCCTGGAGGTGTTTGAAAAGGGTGTAGCAGGCTCGAAAGTATACATTTTCTCCCTGTTGTCGGCCAATCTCTCGAACAATATTGACGATTTCCTCCATTGAGATCTGCTTTGTTTAACACTTGAACGGGAATATAGCTGCTATTTCCCGCAGCGGTGATGATTTATACTCTAAGTCCACCTACAAGAACTCGATTGTGGGAAACGCTGCTACGGAGATGCAGGGTTCGGCAACAACCAGGCGAGAACTAAGCTCCACTCATAAACGTGTTCTTTACAACCGGTCAAAAAGTTTTGGATTTGCCGAGATATCCGATGAAGACTGCCATTGTGTTCGCCAGATGAATAGCTGCAGCGAAAGTGGCAGGATCTGTAACCATAGAATTGAGGGTGGCAGGACAGGCGGTGTTGGCCAGCTTTGCTGGGTCAACATTTAACAAGAAAACTTTTTAGATCGAGTTGGTCCATTATTTTATTATTTCGACGTGACGCGCAAGTTGCTGTGTCAGTTACTGCGGGATAGACAGGGATAAGCCAGTGGTCAACCTGAGAAAAAGCTAACTTGGACCGCCGCATGAATGATGCCCGCCCGAACAGGCCACAAGTTTTCAAAGCATGATCAAATGAGCTGGACATCCTTCTCAACCCCCTTTCTTAACCGTCCTTAACCGTCCTTTCTAGAATCCATTGGTGAATGCCATTTGTTAACCGTTGCACAATATTTTACCCATTCCCCTCTGACGTTCTCCTACTCAGTTACGTTGTTATGTCCGAGACAATGTGCAGTTATCGAGACGGCATCTGATCCAGCAGCTGCTCGCTCTTGCTATTCAGCTTAAAAGCCCAGCTTTCCCCGTGTCGTCGCTTTAATAAGTACACGACTTAAATGGCTGACCCAAGAGCGCAGTCCCTGCACGATTTCGCAATCCTCGCCATAATTAATGTCTTTGGATTGCTTTACTTTTACCTTTTTGTGATTCAGTTTCTGCTCTTCCATTTCCCATCCACCCCCGGAGGTATTCTCGACCCCCTGTCCGTGCTAGCCTTTTGCGCAGGTGTCATCTTCTGGTGCTTGTCCAGCCTCTTCTACCGCGTTCTAGACGCTTTCGGGGGCAATGATGCGGAAGAGTGGCAAAAGCTGGAGTCTGGAGCCACTTTAGTCCTGATCTGGGCGGCCACCCTTCCTTCGGTGGTTGTGCTGTTCCGCACCGAACCCTGCCTCCAACTCGGATACCTAGCTGCATTTACCGTTGTTGCGGTCGGCATCCTGGTGGACTTTGTGGTCTCCGATCCCAGTGTTTGTGCGGTACAGTACCGGTTTCCGTACAGCTGCGTTTCACTGGGCTTACTTTCGCTCATACCAACTATTTATGCTCTGACCGGGACGTTCCAAAGCCCACCTGCAGCGGCGGTACACTTCAGTCGAGTCGCCATTGGCAATTCTCTTGGTGCTGCGTTCTATCTGCTTCGTCCGTTAGAGAGAATTGGGGCGGTGAATGGCTGGCGGCTCGACTCGTGGTCCCAGACCTTGGAACCTGAGTCGGACCATGTCGAGGTCTATAAGTGACCACCAACGGGCTGGCGCATGCCTATATGTTGAGGCGTGGGATAAAGTGGATAACTAGGCCAAGAATCTCCGCAAAGCATCCCGCCGCAATAATCCGGATCGGGGCCATGAGCCGCATGGGATAATTGAAGCTCTGAGCATGAGCTGGTATTCAATATTGGAGGAGATGCTGTTGGCCATACAGCGACATTTGTGTCTAATGAGCCGGCAGCGAATAGGCAGCGATCCTGATGAAGGGCTCCTCGCAAGGAGCCTGGTTGGTCGCAGTCATGGCAAGGGCGGCCAATGGGAGACCACTACGGTGCCTATCGTCCAACTTAGTGACCTTCCTTCAGGGGCGAGAAACGAATAACTAGATGGACAGACTATATTATTATTGTATACCTTTTTTGAGCTTAATTGCAATGATGATAATTAGATTCATAAGTAGATATAAACGTTAGCGACTGAATTCCTGATGCCACACCCAAGATCCCAAAGCCATCAAGAGAAACAATCCGCTTTGCCAGGACCTCCAGACGACCCCTTGTGAGCTTAAGTGGGAGGTTCTCAAGTTAGGGAATCCGTTGGATTTCAATCTTTCAGGTGTAATGAGAAATCGTGTCGGTAGCTGAATCTGTGACTCAGTATTCCGCGAGAACGCTGGGAATTGCTCAAGAATCATCGTGGCCACACGAACCGCACACAAGGCTGCCTGCGGCATCCCGTGGCCACTATACCCAACACAAAGCCACAGTCCATCCTGTAGCTCGCCAATCCACGGAGAGCCGTCCTTCGAATAACCCAATATTCCCGTCCATTCATGGGTCACTTTGAAATCGTCGGGTGCCTGGGCGACGACACCCAAGACCTGGCTCAACCGACCACGAAGGAACTCGTTGGCTTGTTGGTCTACGACGCTGTCATCGCTGAGTCCGTATCCGGAATCGGGTATCATGAAGCGCGCTCCACCAAGTGCCAGAGTGGGACTTTTGTCCATCCCATTCATCTGATGCTCCAACGGCCTCTGCATGAGATACTCCCCGTCACCTATCAAACGTTGATTGGTATGCTCCAAATCTCTGTACTCTTCGCCAGTGAGCTCATCCACGAAGCTGTATGAATTCTTGAGAAGTAGCTCAGCGCCACCGTAGCCGGCGATCATGTTTCCACGGACGGGCTGGGTAATGTGTTTCATGCTGGGCAACAAGTGCGATGTATACCCATTAGTGGCTAAAAGAACGTGTTTTACCACACAGTTACCACGGGATGTGCGCAGACGCCAGCTCCGGGCACTGTTCTCTGCAACAGGCTCAATAGATTGCACAGGGGTGTTAGTTTGAAGGTTAAATTCGGGATGTTGTTCAATGAGGTCTTCCACGACCCGAGCAATCAACTTGTAAGGCCACAGACTTGCGGCAAGCGTGTTCAGGATTGCTCCCTTGGCTTTTGAAACCCCTAGATCTCGCAAACTAGGGCTTTTGCTTTTCGGGGTTACAACACGGAGATACCCCATTATCTCGGGCACGTCGTCTTTACTCTTTTCAAGCTTTTCAATGGCGCGAGCGAAGTCATCATCGGTGAAAAAAGCTGTGACGGCGCCTCGTGGCTGCCAGTCACAATCGATTCCGCAATTCTGAATCATCTGCGAAATATAGTGATAATTTTGAATTTCTAGCCTTGAAATCTCGGGGTCGCCACCATATAATGCTGGCTGACAGTGTCCGCCGTTCTGATGCATTGTGCTTCCTTGGTTACTGATAGATCAGGTACAGCCGAGGCTCAAGAGACCACGACCAACAAGGCGGGCATGGAACTAACTCACTCTTCCTGTTGCCCCGGAGCAAACCTCTCTAGCTTCAAACATGACCACATTTAGCTTTAGACCCTGGTCGGCGGCGGTTGTAAGTAGTTCGCGAGCCGCAAATGTTCCAGAGATGCCACTACCAACCACAGCAATGTCAGCTTGATCGGGAATGACTTCTGTGCTGCCTTAAAGTTGATAATATGTTAGCTGTAGCTTTTTGTTTAAAAATAATGGGGACATACGGTATCCTTTCAGTGATGGTGATAGTTCACTGAGCCAGAAGGACTTTGTGGCATGTGGAGTAGGTAAAGTAGATAGAAGCGCCATCCTAGAAATTGCAGCTTTAAAAAGTGGTTTGTTCAGCACTTCAGCAATCTGAATTGGCAATCCTAAGCACAGCAAGAGCTGTCTAGAGTGGCCATTAATTATATTCATGAACCATTTGAAGTGCGAACGTCAGATATTCGGCGTCAGCGCTGCAAGCGCCGAGAGTATTCAACTAAGATCCCAAGCAGGAGGCCCCGGGGGCTAGATGCAAGACGTAGCATTTCCCTAATTTGGACTTGCCGATCACTGCATCTTTTCTGAAACGCTAATGCAGTGCTACATCTCGTTCACGTTCCAGCCTTTGGGGACTGCGTCATTTTACGAATCAGGCCTACAAAAGTAATAATTGGCCCCGACCGGCGCCACCCGTTGCTAGCCTAGTGGTCTGGATGGAAAGGAGAGCTAACTATCTTTGAATACAACGAGTGGAGCAAGGATACCTAGTTCTGGTCTAGATTGTGACCTGGGGGCTTCGGGCGGTAATGTCTGCTTATCCGGCTAGCATGTGAAATTCTGGCCTTAAAACATATTTGCATACATCCTAATCTTGAAGTATGGTGACACAGGAAGCGCAAAGCCGTAGATAGGTGGCAATGATGTTTCCTTTCGACTGAAGGGCTGAAATGTACTGACGTAGGCGGATTTGAATGTTGAAAGACATCAATATTGTTGGATCAGGACTAATCTATTTAGACACTTTGAAGTTCAATTTCGGTGGTGAAGGAAAGCCAAAAAAAAGGCTACAACTCCATGGCACGATTTGCTTCCGTATATCTCATGAAGCCTCCTCACAAGCCTCGAGTCTCTTCTTCCTTCAACGGAGCTGCTGAACAAAGAAACTTTTGCTTCTCAAAAAGAAGCCGTAACGGAAGAAAACAAAAGGCACTGTGCCCATGATGACACTCAGAACCCCGAATAATGTCAAGGTCCACTGGCTTCCTAGGCGTGCATACATAGGTATTGACGGCGCGATCATTGCTCCCGCAACAACATAGCGGAGAACTGTAGTACTCGCCAATCCTGATGCAGCGTACATGGCGTAAGTATCGATAACGTACATATAAAATCCTATGTAAATGGCGACGCAGGCAAACCCGAACAGCACACCAGCCGCCAGCCCTGACCATGGGCTGATATCGGGGTACGCAGTCCAGCCCAACCAGAATAGGCTGATTGGCAGTGCAACTGCTCCAACCATGGCTATCCAAAGCCTATTCTCCGGGGGGATCGATCTCCTGCGCACCATCCGCTTCACGTCTGGCCTTGTATAGTGCTGCCCATTTTCTCGTGATTGGCATCAGGGTCAGCGGTATATGCTGGCCAATGAAAATAGCCATGAAGGCTGTACCTGTAATTCCAGAACCCCAATGATAGGTGTTTCCAAATATGAAGGGAAATCCATTCAGAAATGTGAAAAAGACCACGTAGAGCAGGACCAAGTATAGAGCAATGGCGATGATAATGGGCTCTCTCAAGAGGAAAGCAAAAGGCCGTTGCATCGCACGCCCGAGGCGCTTCATTAGAGGCTCCCGAGTCACCTCGATGGGTGCTCGATACCGGCTGTCTTTGGTCTTTGTGCGAATAGAATGAGCTTTCCACTGCAGGAGGACAGGCGCGTATGTCTCGGGAAGAAAGAGAACAATAAGCAACAGTATGACAGCTGAGATGCACAGCGTGATCCACTCAACCCAGCGCCATGATAAGGCTCCAGAGCTTGCACCTTGTGCAACCCAACCGCCAACAACTGGACCTAGAGCAGATCCATCGAATATACCCACAGAGTAAATTGGAACCACAATCACTCTTTCTTCGGGACTCCACAGATCCGCTAGGCTGCCACCGGCACATGTCAATGGTGTGTTGCCAAAGAAGCCAGCCAGGAAACGGAAGATAAGTTGTGCTTCAATGTTGGGCGCCGCTCCAGATGCAGCAATGAAAACCATGAATAGAGTCCTGCAGTCATAGTGAGCTCCCATATTGAGATAAATTTGGAGCTTGCTCTTACATGGCAACAATGTATATGGCATTACGACCAAGTGTTTCAGAGATGGGACCGGCAAGAAGCGATCCAAGACCAAAACCGATAAAGTATAAACCTGTTGCCAGAGATTCAACCGTCTCGCTCACACCAAATTCCACACTCGCATTCTCAGCAGCCGCCGACGTGATAGAGCCTGCCCAGCTGACAATAAATCCGACGGATGTGGCCAGGACTGTGCACAGTACGCGTTTGTATAGAGGCCACAAGCGAGGGTTGAGGGACGGCTCAGTGGGTTTGGCATCTACAAGCAGGATATCATCGCCTGAACCTTCACCCAGGGTTTGCAGCTCTGCATCCAAGATAACTCCATCAGTCCCTAGCCTGGCAATATGCCAAAACTGAAGAATAGAAGCCATTGCAGAGTTGGTTTTGATGGTTCGATTTTTGACAAGGGTTTCGTAATTAGAAGGTTAAAGGAAAAGAGGCCTTCAGTATTGCCTTGCAATGGAGGCAAAGAACTATTTTCCGCACTACGTGCGATTTTCGTCACAACAAAGAAGAAAAGCTAATAAGAACCGACAAATGGGAATTGTTAAGATCCCAAAAGTCTCACAAAATCCAGGTTTTCTGTAACTATTTTTCTTAGTAAACTAGCGGTCAGAGATCTGCAAGAGATTTCAACGAAAGTACTAAAGGTACTTTTGCCAATATTAAAACCTTGAAGGTGCATATTCCGTCGCCACTAACCATCATATCCGATAGGATGGGACGTAGCCCCTTGGACGCCTCGCGCAAGCCACCGTGTGTAAGAAGCACTTCGGGTGCCCTTATCAGGCCACCCACGGGGCTTGCCGAGATCCACATAATTCGAACGGCCCCGAAGACAGCTGTGGGGCACCCACAAGGCACAGTTAAAGGCGGCTATATTCGTAATTGGCCACAAAGCCATGTAGTTATATAGACAGGGGCCCTTGCAGCCAATGCTACCTAGGTCTGACACCGGCGGAATATAGTAAAATCTGATCTTGACGACAAGCTGCGCGAATTGTTTCTTCCTTATCAGTGTGCATTATCGAAAAGAAATGCCCAAAGACAGGGGTCCTTGCAGCCAATGCTACCTAGGTCTGACACCGGCGGAATATAGTAAAATTGATCTTGACGACAAGCTGCGCGAATTTGACCACCAATGGCCGACTGGCGGCCTTGGAGTATTTATGGCAGAGACATGCTCGCCGAGATGTCAGAGTGAAAATTAAACAACATGAAAGGGGGAACTACTCGGACACACCGAGACCATTAACCAAGCTTACTGTTTCATAGCGCATTTGACCCTCCAAATATTCACTTTAGGACCCACTACTGAGGGTTTCTTTTGATACCCGGCGAGATGGCGAATAATTGGGACAGGGGCCCTTGCAGCCAATGCTACCTAGCTCGGACACCGGCGGAATATAGTAAAATTGATCTTGACGACAAGCTGCGCGAATTGTTTCTCCCTTATCAGTGTGCATTATCGAAAAGAAATGCCCAAAGGCAAGACCCATGTTGCTACAGGAATCCTTCCGTGCAGTGATACCATGAGCTTTCCGGGAGCAATTAGAATGAGACTACGAGTTGGCAGGATCAACCCGTCTTTGTTGGATGTAGTATGATGACATGGTTCGGTTCAGCACACCGAGGAGCACTAAATTTTTGATTATTTAACGAAATGGCCATCTCAAGGTGCATATAAGAGGAGCGTATCACTATAATTGCCTGTCCATAAAACGCACAGTCTGCAATTCCATTCATTCAATCTCACCGATATTTCTACCAAGCTCCTACGGTCTACCCTGCGAGGTTCTGCAGTCGTGCACTATGGTTAAGCCTATTATACTCCTCAGGGCAGAGACCAAGCCTCTTGAGCACCGCTCCGTCTTGACACCGTCATGTATTACAGCTCTGATCAGCGCAGGATACACTGTCAAATGCGAACGCTGTGACAAGAGATGCTTCCGCGATGAAGAGATGGAGGCTGCTGGCGCAATTCTAGTCCCCACAAACTTCTGGGTAGAAGCGCCTCTTGACCACATTATTGTGGGGCTCAAGGAGTTGATGCCTTCAGATGACTTTGCCCTTGAACATGTTCATTTGCATTTCGCGCATGTCTTTAAGGAGCAACAAGGCTGGACCAAGACCTTGCTTCGCTTCGCCCGTGGAGGTGGCTCTCTGCTGGATATCGAATTCCTTGAAGATCACGTTGTTAAAGATCGCCTTTTGGCTCCCACTAGCTTTTATGCTGGATTTTGCGGAGCTATTCTGGCTATACAAGCGTGGACTCACCAGATTTTGCATCCGGAAGAACCAGAGCTTGCAGAAATTCTGCCATATGAAAGCGAGCGTAAAGCAGTCGAAGACACCATTTCCCACCTACAGGATGGAGTCAAGACTATTGGTCGTCCACCAACAATCATGATTGTGGGAGCCTCTGGAAAGTGTGGTTTAGGAGCTGTGGACCTATGCCAACGTCTTGGGTTAGACTCCCAAAACATTCTTCAGTGTGGCCGGGCACATACCTCGAAGCCGATATTTGCCAAACAAGTGCTGCAAGCCGATATACTCATCAACTGCATCTATCTTACCCAAGATACCAAGCCATTTGTCACAATGGATGCATGTCGAGAATTGAATCGGCGTCTGTCCGTTATTTCCGATGTGAGCTGTGACGGCGAAGACCCTGGTAATCCCATCGCCATTTACTCGGGCCATAGCACTTTTAAACGGCCGAGTTTTATTGTTCCTACCAGTGAAGGTCCTACGTTGAGTGTCATCTCGATCGATCACCTCCCGAGTCTGATTCCCAGAGATGCGAGTGAATATTGCGCAAACCAATTATTGCCCAGCCTCCTCAAACTCGACGAGTGGCAAACAGCAGATGAATGGAGAATGGCTCGAGAGCTGTTCGAGAAAAATCTCAAAAAAGCAGTGAAGGTGGAAAAACAAACGCCAGGATGGTTTTCGCAGCTTACACCAGACTCGAACCCATCTCCAGATCTTTCCGTCAGGAGCAGTAGCAGTGTCTCTGTTGGCGACCAGTCAGGCGCTTCAAGTGTGTCATCTCTGATGTCCAAACTGAGCGTAAAGCCTGGCAAGTTTCACAATTCACCACTCGAGATTGAGAAGACCGTTAGCCCTCCACTTGATCCTCTTGACCCTTTGATGTCGAGTTTCAAAGATGACTTTGATACCAAAGCTGTCCATGCAGGGCATAGAAAACATGACCCAGCAACAGGCGCAGTATCCATGCCCATCACCATGTCATCAACGTACGCGCAAGCGGCCGCTAACAATGCGGTAGGAGAGTACGTGTACTCTCGCAAGGCAAATCCAAACCGGAGTGATTTCGAAAGATCCGTGGCGGCACTTGAACAAGCCAAATACGGACTTGCATTTGCTTCCGGCTCGGCGGCTATCGCAATGGTTGTCCATATGCTCAAGCCGTACAGTAACATTATCGCCATTGCAGATACGTATGCCGGTGGGTGCTTTAGAGCTGTGCTACAATGCGACGACAAAAGATGCTGATACGAGTATTTTCCGAGTAGGAACTCAGCGAACCTTTACCCTCATGGCCGAGTTGCTCTCCATCTCAACCACCTATGTTGAAGGCACGGAGCTCTCCGCAGATCTTGGAAAGTATGTCACCGCGCAAACCAAAATGGTTTGGATAGAATCGCCCAGCAATCCGTTGCTTCGGATTGTCGACGTCCGGGCAATCGCTACCCAAGCGCATCGTATGGGTATCCTGGTCATAGTCGACAATACTCTCGCGTCCCCTTTCATCTTCAACCCTTTAGTACACGGAGCAGATATCACAGTGCATTCGGCTACTAAGCATCTGGCCGGCCACAATGACGTGGTTCTAGGTGTCCTGGCTACCAATTCCAAGGAGATGCGCGACCGCCTGGCATTCCTGCAGAATGCTATCGGTGCTGTTCCTTCGCCATTTGATTGCTGGCTTGCATCTAGAGGCCTCCGAACCTTCCACTTACGCATCAACCGAGCTAACAGCAGTGCACAAGCCATAGCGGAGGCACTGAAGAGCTCACCTCATGTCATCGAAGTGATGTATCCAGGGCTAGAATCACACCCCGGACGCGAGATAGTCAAGAAACAGCACAACCATGGTGGTGCGGGAGGTTGTCTAGTTTCTTTCCGAATCAAGGGAGGTTTCAAAGCCGCGGAAGACTTCTGTCGGTCCTTGCGCTTGTTCACTCTCGCCGAAAGCTTTGGGAGTGTACAGAGCCTTTGCGAGGTGCCAGGCCCCATGACCCATAAGCTTCTGACATCTGAGCAGAGGGCAGCCATTGGTGTTTATGACGATCTGGTGAGACTTAGTATGGGGGTTGAGGCTCCTAACGATCTCATCCAGGATATTCTCCAGGGGTTGGAGACTGCACGTGCTGGATAAAAATGTGGATTATTCGCGTTTGGATGGACATCTTAAATAACCTATTGGTATATGTTGTGATATGAGGCTGGTGCAGATCAGGAACAAAGCCGCAGCGTCGAAAATAATCCCCGAAGTGTCTATACGAAGAATCAAGTTGATTGTAAATCAACTTGATTTTCTCCTCGTATATATAGGGATTTATTACCGTAACCCTGATACGGCACCTTATCTATGGTGGACCCTACTAATTAGATTACACTGTATTCGTACCTTACACCACGTATTTTACTATTAGCGGCCACGTAGACGGAAGGGGTCTGCCACCACGTAAGGCACTATTTACTACAAGGGTCACTATAATTAGCTAGTCCCGTACGCTAGGAATTTGGGAAGGGACTTAATCGATAGAGAAAAATCGGCTGATTTCAAATATACTATTTATAAATTGGTAGGTCTATTACTAAGCGAGTTATTAGTGGTTAAACTTTGTAATAATAGTAAAATAGTAGTACAGTCAACTCTCGCTTATACCACAGCATACTATCCAAGCCAAATTACGTGGTATAATTGAGTTGTGTTTTGGTGAGAGGATGACATAATATTTGACAAGCTAACTCTAAGCCCTAATACCTATTTAGTCTTCCATCCCATCATCTGATCCAAAGTCACCTGACGTTTCTCATCAATCTGAATCCTGCCAAAGTCGCTGATTAAGCTCTCAATTTGTCTAATATGGTCCGAGGTACCCTTTTCTTTGCTACAAACCCATAGTAGGATATCCTGGAGGCTGTCCAATATAGCAGAATTAGACAGAAGCTCAGGTGGGGGCCCATCAATGTCAATATCCTGAATTTCTGAGGTTGTTGGGGCAATATATATATCTTGCTCATTGGTCTCATCTCGCCCTTCAGTCCCATCTTCTAACATGTCTTCGTCCGAAGGGTTCAAAAACTCGTCAAATGGCACAATATCTTTATCACCAAGCTTATCAATTGCTTGATTATATAGACTTTCAATCTCATCACTCAATCCGGGCTCGGAAAATAGTGCAGACTCAGGTGCGGACTCGGGCGCGGACTCAGGTATAGGTATAGACTTTGGACTAATCAAAGTACTTTGTTTAAAGCAATTGATAATCGTTTGGTCTGATACACTTGTTCTCCAAACTTGCGTTACCCAGGTAACAGTATAATAAATGCTCATTCTTTGTTTTGGGTCTATCCCACGATCAAGAAAAGCAATCATATAGCGCATCCATTTCTTCCGATAATGGTGCTTCAAGTTTTGGATAATACCTTGGTCCAAGGGTTGATAAATTGAAGTTGCGTTTGCTGGCAAAAAAACAACCGTAATCCGGGGTGGTGGTGGCGCTCGCTGGAGTCCAATAACATGTGGTGAAGCATTGTCTAAAAGGAGCAAAGCTTTCTTATCTAAGGGAATACGCCCATAGAAAGATCGCAACCAGTCCTCCATAATGTCATGACGCATCCATGCTGCCTTGTTGTGACGCCAAACACATCCCAGAGCTCGGAAATTAACCCCCCGGAGTGCGCGAGGGGTTTTTGCTGTGCCAATCAACCATAAAGGGACTCGATCGGAACCATCCGCATTTGATGCAACAACAATAGTGATTCGTGTTTTATCAAGCTTTTTGCCAGCAATTTTTCCCTTTGAAAGACCACCATTTGGCATACGTCGCCAAAATAGGCCAGTTTCATCCATATTGTAGATTTCGGACGGTTTGAATTGATTGCAAATCGATTTGGTGCTTTTGATCTGATCATGTACCGAGGATGGGACTGAGGCAGCTTCTCCGTGGAAAGTATGATATTGAAGAGAGTGGCGTTGTTTGAAGCGAGTTAACCAACCCTCAGAGAATTGAGGTTTGGTCCGATCTTTGTATTCCGGTATTTGTCTCCAAAGCTCAGCTGCTTTAGTTTGGATCAAAGGGCCATTTATTGGTATTCCATTGCCAATATGGTTATCTGCCCAGTCATATAGCTTTTGGTCCAATAATGGCCAATGAGAGGATGAAGATCGTTTGTTTGCCCCTGCAGGGCCCGTATCAAGATAATTGTATTTGGATGAAAGGATCCTTGATATGGTTGACCGGTCAATCACTTGTTTGAATTGGTCCTCAAACCACTTAGCACATGCAGTCTGCGTGGGCTTTGGGCTAGTATTAGACCAAAATGCCCGTAGTGCCTGTTTCTGCGCGTCTGATATACCCAATTTGGTACGCTTTGGTCCCATTCTGACGCGCTTGGGTGGGGTCGGGAGGGTAGGAGAGCTTGTAGATTGAGGCATTCTGATTGGTTGATTGCGCTGACTAAGCAGATTTGAGAGGAAGAAAGTGTGGTAAAACAAAATGTGTTATATTCTGTCAATTTATATGGAAAAAACTGGAATGAAGGGGCCATCCAAGCAAGGGATGTGTTATTATCAAGAATGTGCAATATCCCACCGTGGTATAAGCGAGAGTTGACTGTATGCATAAATTCTTCACACCTTCCCTGATTAGGATGGATAAATTTGCTGACAGATAGCAATAAATTACTGTTTCTTATACCTGTTTCGTCTGTCACACACTTAATTCATCTTTTTCTATCCGACCCCTGTGTATTTTTATGAAATATGTCTTCAGGTCTTCTTGCTTGGTAATACTCAATTGACAGATTCTCAGGTCTAAGGGAGACCGTTGTGGTATGTATTGTAAAGAATTGGAGAGATTGGCAAATCACGATGTGGAAATATATATTTTGAGTGCAGAACGTAGTCGCACCGCAATCCAGAGACGGCTAACATTTTTCTGGATATAACCTAAAACCACTGGAAATCCTGACTTCATTGTATTTGATATATTGTATTCACTCTCTAAACACTTATGCTACGCTAAAATTAAGCAGAATATGTCGATTAAGTTCAATTATGTGACTCCAGAGTTCTAGGGTCCTAAGGGCGACCCTCATAACCCTCAGGGTGACCCTCATAATCCTTGTTCTAGCCAATTAGTATCGGTAGTATCAAATATGATATATCACTTTTTCTCCTTTGTTTGCGAAGTAGACCCTTGTCTACAAGACTCAACTACCCCTGAGTTCTTTACTGAATAGCACAAGAGATCGAGGTAAGACTTTTCTTCTCCTAACCATCTTCATAATGTCCCAGTTCTCTGATAACTTTTCATCTGCTTATGGGGGTCCTCCCTCGGATTTTCTTGAATATATTGCTAATGATAGTTCAAATCAGCTTTACTCCTCTATCCCATCTGGAAGTCAAACTACCTCCCTTCCCTCGTCTCTACATCGAGCGGCACCTGATTGTCTTCCACGGATTTGCCCCGATCGGATCAGATCGTACATCTTATACTCACCGGAAATGGGTAGCGAATTCGTGCAGTGGTGGCTTCATACCGATTTTGGCCAAAAGAAACAGATATCTTGGGATACAAAACGAGCTGCCCAGTGCTGGAAAAACTTTGACCAAGTCGCGTTTGAAAAAGATGGAAAGCCTGGGGTTATGTGCCATCAATGTCGGAAGGTGCTTGATCACCCTGGCTGGGCTCATTCAGGGACGACCTCAATGAATAAGCACTATAATGGGGTAAATTGCCGAAAAGCTGCCTCAGCTGCAGGGAAGAAACCAAATATCAAGCTTGCATTAGAGCATGCGGTATAGATAAGACCTAACTCTAACCGTGACGATCCTAAATCTGACCTCGACGTTTAGGCGCAGAATGCGACGGTACGAAGATTCGATGAGCGAGTTTGGCAGCAGAAGCTTGCTAAGCTTCTTGCTGTATCGCATCTCCCCTTTCTGTTTCTCGAGCACACCGAGTTCCGTGATCTTATCTCCTACGCCCGGCTTGCACCGTCAATGCCGGAAATTCCTTCTGCTAAGGTTATGCGCCGGCAGCTTCGAGACCTAGTCCGTGAGAACCAAAAGAGTATCCTTCAGAGACTCCCTTCTGGTGCGAAGCTATCACTTGCTCTAGATTGCTGGACATCGCCATTTAAGCAGGCATTTATAGCGATTACGGGATACTTTCTTGACGAAGACTGGGAGTACAATGAGATACTACTCAGATTCGAACACTTACATGGATCTCATTCAGGTGCAAATCTGAGTGAAGTGCTCTTCAAGCTGCTACAGGAGTATCAGATCACAGATAGAGTGCTTACGGTAACCACCGACAACGCTTCAAATAACGTTACCCTTATGGCAAGTGTCCACGACGCGATTGAGTCACTACAATCCGCCAACGATGTCGTTATTATTCGGATACCGTGTATTGCCCATGTGATCCAGTTAAGCCTTAAAGACCTCCTTGGGAAGATGAAGGCTGCTCCAAAGAATGATGTAGCTGAACAGGCATGGTCTGATGACCGGGTGGATAGTCTTCGTGCAAGACAGCAGAAACGCGAGATCGTGGACACTCTAAATAAGGTGAGATATCGTAACTTTTCTACCATTCATTATCCTAATCTGTCTCTTAGGTTCGAAGCCATTGCGATCTATATCAACGCGAGTCCGCAGCGCCGAGAGTCATTCTACAACTTACAAACTAAGGAGCCAAAGCTCGTGCCAATTCAGGATGTTGCTACTCGATGGAACTCCACGTTCTTAATGCTTGTCCGCGCAAAGAAACTCCAGCAAACCTTCGATGCTTTCTGTACACAGTACGACCAAGAACATTTTGCCCTAAGTCAGGAGCAGTGGCGACAAGTGGACTATCTTATCTGCATCCTTCAGCCTTTTCACCGATTCACAACTCTTCTTTCAAAGTCGAAGGACGTCACTATCCACCGGGTCTTTAAGGTCTACAATAAGCTATTTGATCACATAGAAAAGTCGATTAGACGGCTTAGACGGAAGAGGGTCGCTTGGAAGCAAGGAATGCTTATGTCACTCGAAGCGGCAAAAAGCAAGCTCTCAGTCTACTATAAAGACACTGATAATATGGATGGCGATCTCTATGCCATTGGCACAATCCTTTCTCCGCAGGATAAACTTCAGTT